AAGGGGGACTCTTAATCCATCCATTGTGGGCAGGAGAACAATTTTATTTGTTAAGAATTCTAGTATGTATATATTTTTTTAGTTGAAATACCATTAAAGTTTACACGGGATTCTTACCATATCTTATGAACGGGAAGGGGCAGTAGATCTTACCTCTAGGATTATAACTAGATAAGAGAAGGAAGAAAGTTTGATCAAATTTTTGAACTTGAAGTGGTGACTCGCTAGAGTTCACTCGATCGACAATAGTAACATAGCTAAAGAAAATATTCCACTTAATATCCATTTACCAACCTCAATATATGGTTCACCTTGTCTCTCCAACTGAATCCTAGCATGTATATATATATATATATATATAGTGAGAGAGAGAGAGAGAGAGAGAGCTCATCTTCTAAAGTTTATCCAACATATCACCCTCCCTCCCTCCCTCCCTCCCTCTCTCTCTTTCTCTAAAGTGATCATGAAGCAGCCACAGACTTGTGAGACCATGTTAACCCCATCTAAGTTGGCGCTGCACAAGTATTCACACGCAATATCCAAAATAAAGCCAAAGATACGCGTAATTCACATAGTTGCACCAGAGATTATAAAGACAGATGTCGAAAATTTTCGAGAGCTTGTACAAAGACTCACAGGTAAACCTACAACGGGACAAGGAAAAGGGAAAAGTACAAAGAAAGGCAATGATAATGTTAGCGAGTTAATGAAGAAAATGGATTCATCAGGAGATGTGCCTGTATCACAGAGTAGCAAACACAGAATGAAGAAGGAAATCAGTGAAGAAATGTTATATGGAGGACATAGTTCAAATGGGTTTATGACTTTTCTTGGAGATGTGGATTGCTTTATAAATATTCAAGAGATGAATGAATTTCATCTGCCCCCGTTTAGATCTTCTTCTCAAATGAACTTGCTTGGAGAGATGCATCTTTGCTAGTAGAATAAATATTGATCGTGTATGATCACAGATTTTCTTCCTAGAAACTACTGTTTGATCCCTTCTAGTTTGAAGATATCGGTCAGGGATTTCGATTTTCTATGTGTTCGTTCATTCTCTTTATCTGTTTGAGTACTTGTGATTGATTTCATTTTTCATTTCATTTGGATTGTTTAATTTCTTTCTGTGTTCGATAAGAATATTAACTCTATAAAGGGCTTACAATCTTGTAATTACGTAGATGGAAATTGAACCTGAAATACATTGGTCTGTTTCTTATTCTTATTGTTGAGAGAATTGAAAATCCCTCTCCTATTCCTTCATCATTGTCCCAAGTGCACAGTGTATTTCATGTATCCACGTTAAGAAAATACATTGAAAATCTCTATCATGTACTGAAGATTGAATCGATAGACATAAAACCAAATTCGACTTATGAAGAAAAACCACTAGAGATTCCTCAACGAGAAATAAAGTAATTGCTCCAAAAGCCGAAAAGAAGGTTGTACGGATGTTTGGACTTTTCAAACTTATTGAAATGAAACATCTAGTTTGGTGGTCATTTTTCTAGAAAAATAATGTTTTGAATAGTAAATTTTGAGAGAATATATAGTTAAAAAATAGGAAAATAATTTAGGATTACGTATAAAATATTTTATTGTATGAATGTATTATTGAAAATGAACATGAAGAAAAAAGAATTTTAAAACAATGAAAGACAAATAGGTCTAGCAATTATAAAATTCTTTATTCTTTCATGAATTATGTCGAGAGTTTCCGAAATGGATGCTTTCCAATGATCAACATTGTTTGTGATATTGTTTGATTACCTTCGATAAATTTTGTATTTATTATCAATTTGAGATATACGATTTGTTTTTTGAAGCGAGTCGAACTACAGTTTTACCATGCAAACCCACTCGCTGAATTGAGAGAATATGCAATTTCAATAAAAAGCACGAACCAGCTTAGCTAAGTCACCCCATCAAGGGGCAAGCTTGTGGAGCGAGCTTCGCTCATGCTCAGCTCACCCCCATATTGTGAGCATTAGATAAGCCCAATGGTATGAGTAGCTCGACTCGCTCCATTTAGCACTCCTAGGCACAACACTTAATTCAATGGTGGCTACAAAATATGCTGATTTTATTTTTTTGAAGACACAAGTTAAAAAATCGAGTTGTCATTTAATGTGCCAGTTCTAATTCTAGAAGTTCAGATTATATGTGCCAGTTCTAATTCTAGAACTTCATATCTAAATATTTAGACAACTGTAAAAGCAAGTCAACCTATAGAATTTGTTACTTCGTCAGAAGCTTGTTCCCTCCTTAACCTGTGCCCCCTGTCCATCAGCCTTGAATCAGCTACAAGCCTATGACATATATAATTTACGTTTGGGACTAAAGGGGCAAGTGCGAACCTTTCAATGCTAAATTTAAATCCTGCTTGGAGTTTACTGTGATCAAGAGATGAGGTGAACTCCACATTGACGGTCTATAACTCGACTCACTTCCTACTGTTCTATCATTATTATCAAGTGGTAAAGTACGGATTCTTACATGAGAGATATGTATACGGGTAAACACCCACATATGACATTCACATCATTGTTTAATACTTGTGACAAACAAATATGTAGAGAAGTAAGATACAAAAGTCAAAAAACAATAATCATGCTACTTATACAACTAATTTGACAATGTGTAAGTTGACAAAAATTCTAACCATTGATTTGAAAATCAACGACTAAAATCTTTACACCTCGCACATTGTCAAACTCATTGTACAACTAATTTGTACAAGCTTAATTCAAAGGATTAATCTATTTTTGACAGTGACAACAGATAATTGAATGAAAATAGTTGACCGTATTTTAAACTATTCAATATCATATAATATTATGTCAAGAATTATGTCAACCATTATGTCATTGTAACATGATTGTAATTCACAAAACATTATATGACTTCATAATATCAAATCATCATTTTCCAAATGGAAAAAGCAGTCGGTCCAATTCCACGTTCCATTGAGTATCGGTGAAACATTCAAAACGGAAGAAAACACCAAAGAATATGGAGGATCAATTTATTATGAAACAAATCTTGACATGCTCTATGAATTTCTTTCGAGTACTTGGGTAAGCATCACCTATTACTGAAGAGAACTGTATAAATTCAAGTAGCACAACAAAACCTGTATCAATGACTATTCAAAAGTGCCATTACATGCATAGCTAACAAATGGATGAGCTGTTTCTCACTACTATCAGCCTTCTTATTTACAAACTCAAAAAGTTAACATGGAAGTATGACCTCATTCCTTTGCTATTTCCTTATTTTCTTCCCATACTCCCTTTTCTGCCTGTTTTGTATTCTTCAGATCAGGTCAAGAGAATGTGAGATCAATAAATAGTAATAGTGCCTAGGTGATAAATTTTTCTTAAATTTTTCTAACTTTTTAACTGGTAAAACTTCAACTTCAACTGCAAATTTCATGTGCCCACACCTTTTATCAACTTTCAACCACATATTACCTCAACTTCTATCAAAATCTACAAATTTTTTTTATCAAAAGCTTTGTCAAATGACCCCTTAGGCATGACCAAGTGATGTGTTCAACACCTGAAAGAGAAAGACAAAGGCATTATCAGTCCAAAACAATTACTGAAGTAGCCAGTATGAACGACAAAATATGAACCACAACAGATGTGAAAGTGAGAAACACGTCCAGGTGTAAACAGTATAACCCACCAAATAAAACACCGTTTTTGAATATTGCATAGACTGTGATGGCTTGTGCAATATCTCAGTACGACTGGCTAGAAAAATAAAGTTGGCATACGAGCAAGTGAAAAGTTTTACTATATCTAAAGAAAGGCAAATATTGTTCAAAAACAATGATTCATCCCTCGTAATGGCGGGGGAACCAAAAGCATGCGCACCCAACATTTTATAAAGCTATTTAGACCACCATATGCTTTCAATAAGTTTCTGCTATAAAGAACGCAAAGCTGTGAAAATGTAAGATCTCATATTTTATCCGATAAAGGAAGCTCCTCAAATTAATCAATCACTTTTTTACACACGTGCTCTCCAGTGACAGCAGATACATGCATATGCTGCAATTAGTGGCACTTAAANATATTGCACATTTATATTATTTACAAGCCTGTCAGACAAAAATCCATCTTATCATCACTTCCAAAGGGCAAGATTGTTTTTTTTGTTTTTTTTCCTCCCCATATTTGGACTTTTTGTTGGAATTGCCCCCAACTAGACATGTCTAGCTGTTAAGAACACTCTCATTATTCTGCCCACGACCAGAAGTTTTATCTTGCCTACTTTGAAAAGAACCTTATTTGAGGTTCTTATGTTTGAAGACAGGGGCAGATTCAGGGACGAGCACGCCAATCCGTCAGCCCCAAATCCCTTTAAAAAAAAAAAAATTAGTAAATTTTTTTTTATGTGTAATATATATATATTTTTTCTGTATTAGCCCGTGTTCATGCCGGAAGTTGAATCCGCCAGTGTTTGAAGAGAACCGTAAATAGGGCTCTATTTTCATATCAGCAAAGGGGCAGTCTTATCTCATCCATTGTGAGCAGGAGAACAATTTTATTTGTTAAGAATTCTAGCATGTGTATATTTTTTTAGTTGAAATACCATTAAAGTTTATGCGGGATTCTTACTATATCTTACGAACGGGAAGGGGCAGTAAATCTTACCTCTAGGATTATAACTAGATAAGAGAAGGAAGAAAGTTTGATCAAATTTTTGAACTTGAAGTGGTGACTCGCTAGAGTTCACTCGAACGACAATAGGAATATAGCTATCCATAGACCAAGTTTATGTCCGACGGCAGCGGAGAGGAAAAAAAAAATTATGTTTATAAAAAATACATGTTGATAGATGAGCAATAATTGATAAACACAAATTGATAAACCTGTTATATATATATATATATATATATATATAGTGTGTGTGTGTGAGAGAGAGAGAGAGAGCTCCATCTTCTAAGTTTATCCAACATATCACCCTCCCTCCCTCCCTCTAAAGAGATCATGAAGCAGCCACAGACATGTGAGACCATATTAACCCCTTCTAAGTTGGGGCTGGACAAGTATTCACACACAATATCCAAAATAAAGCCAAAGATACGTGTAATTCACATAGTTGCACCAGAGATTATAAAGACAGATGTCGAAAATTTTCGAGAGCTTGTACAAAGACTCACAGGTAAACCTACAACGGGACAAGGAAAAGGGAAAAGTACAAAGAAGGGCAATGATAATGTTAGCGAGTCAATGAAGAAAATGGATTCATCAGGAGATGTGCCTGTATCACAGAGTAGCAAACACAGAATGAAGAAGGAAATCAGTGAAGAAATGTTATATGTAGGACATAGTTCAAATGGGTTTATGAGTTTTCTTGGAGATGTGGATTGCTTTATAAATATTCAAGAGATGAATGAATTTCATCTGCCCCCGTTTAGATCTTCTTCTCAAATGAACTTGCTTGGAGAGATGCATCTTTGCTAGTAGAATAAATATTGATCGTGTATGATCACAGATTTTCTTCCTAGAAACTACTGTTTGATCCCTTCTAGTTTGAAGATATCGGTCAGGGATTTCGATTTTCTATGTGTTCGTTCATTCTCTTTATCTGTTTGAGTACTTGTGATTGATTTCATTTTTCATTTCATTTGGATTGTTTAATTTCTTTCTGTGTTCGATAAGAATATTAACTCTATAAAGGGCTTACAATCTTGTAATTACGTAGATGGAAATTGAACCTGAAATACATTGGTCTGTTTCTTATTGTTGAGAGAATTGAAAATCCCTCTCCTATTCCTTCATAATTGTCCCAAGTGCACAGTGTATTTCATGTATCCATGTTAAGAAAATACATTGAAAATCTCTATCATGTACTGAAGATTGAATCGATAGACATAAAACCAAATTCGACTTATGAAGAAAAACCAATAGAGATTCCTCAACGAGAAATAAAGCAATTGCTCCAAAAGCCGAAAAGAAGGTTGTACGGATGTTTGGACTTTTCAAACTTATTGAAATGAAACATCTAGTTTGGTGGTCATTTTTCTAGAAAAATAATGTTTTGAATAGTAAATTTTGAGAGAATATATAGTTAAAAAATAGGAAAATAATTTAGGATTACGTATAAAATATTTTATTGTATGAATGTATTATTGAAAATGAACATGAAGAAAAAAGAATTTTAAAACAATGAAAGACAAATAGGTCTAGCAATTATAAAATTCTTTATTCTTTCATGAATTATGTCGAGAGTTTCCGAAATGGATGCTTTCCAATGATCAACATTGTTTGTGATATTGTTTGATTAACTTCGATAAATTTTGTATTTATTATCAATTTGAGATATACGATTTGTTTTTTGAAGCGAGTCGAACTACAGTTTTACCATGCAAACCCACTCGCTGAATTGAGAGAATATGCAATTTCAATAAAAAGCACGAACCAGCTTAGCTAAGTCACCCCATCAAGGGGCAAGCTTGTGGAGCGAGCTTCGCTCATGCTCAGCTCACCCCCATATTGTGAGCATTAGATAAGCCCAATGGTATGAGTAGCTCGACTCGCTCCATTTAGCACTCCTAGGCACAACACTTAATTCAATGGTGGCTACAAAATATGCTGATTTTATTTTTTTGAAGACACAAGTTAAAAAATCGAGTTGTCATTTAATGTGCCAGTTTTAATTCTAGAAGTTCAGATTATATGTGCCAGTTCTAATTCTAGAACTTCATATCTAAATATTTAGACAACTGTAAAAGCAAGTCAACCTATAGAATTTGTTACTTCGTCAGAAGCTTGTTCCCTCCTTAACCTGTGCCCCCTGTCCATCAGCCTTGAATCAGCTACAAGCCTATGACATATATAATTTACGTTTGGGACTAAAGGGGCAAGTGCGAACCTTTCAATGCTAAATTTAAATCCTGCTTGGAGTTTACTGTGATCAAGAGATGAGGTGAACTCCACATTGACGGTCTATAACTCGACTCACTTCCTACTGTTCTATCATTATTATCAAGTGGTAAAGTACGGATTCTTACATGAGAGATATGTATACGGGTAAACACCCACATATGACATTCACATCATTGTTTAATACTTGTGACAAACAAATATGTAGAGAAGTAAGATACAAAAGTCAAAAAACAATAATCATGCTACTTATACAACTAATTTGACAATGTGTAAGTTGACAAAAATTCTAACCATTGATTTGAAAATCAACGACTAAAATCTTTACACCTCGCACATTGTCAAACTCATTGTACAACTAATTTGTACAAGCTTAATTCAAAGGATTAATCTATTTTTGACAGTGACAACAGATAATTGAATGAAAATAGTTGACTGTATTTTAAACTATTCAATATCATATAATATTATGTCAAGAATTATGTCAACCATTATGTCATTGTAACATGATTGTAATTCACAAAACATTATATGACTTCATAATATCAAATCATCATTTTCCAAATGGAAAAAGCAGTCAGTCCAATTCCACGTTCCATTGAGTATCGGTGAAACATTCAAAACGGAAGAAAACACCAAAGAATATGGAGGATCAATTTATTATGAAACAAATCTTGACATGCTCTATGAATTTCTTTCGAGTACTTGGGTAAGCATCACCTATTACTGAAGAGAACTGTATAAATTCAAGTAGCACAACAAAACCTGTATCAATGACTATTCAAAAGTGCCATTACATGCATAGCTAACAAATGGATGAGCTGTTTCTCACTACTATCAGCCTTCTTATTTACAAACTCAAAAAGTTAACATGGAAGTATGACCTCATTCCTTTGCTATTTCCTTATTTTCTTCCCATACTCCCTTTTCTGCCTGTTTTGTATTCTTCAGATCAGGTCAAGAGAATGTGAGATCAATAAATAGTAATAGTGCCTAGGTGATAAATTTTTCTTAAATTTTTCTAACTTTTTAACTGGTAAAACTTCAACTTCAACTGCAAATTTCATGTGCCCACACCTTTTATCAACTTTCAACCACATATTACCTCAACTTCTATCAAAATCTACAAATTTTTTTTATCAAAAGCTTTGTCAAATAACCCCTTAGGCATGACCAAGTGATGTGTTCAACACCTGAAAGAGAAAGACAAAGGCATTATCAGTCCAAAACAATCACTGAAGTAGCCAGTATGAACGACAAAATATGAACCACAACAGATGTGAAAGTGAGAAACACGTCCAGGTGTAAACAGTATAACCCACCAAATAAAACACCGTTTTTGAATATTGCATAGACTGTGATGGCTTGTGCAATATCTCAGTACGACTGGCTAGAAAAATAAAGTTGGCATACGAGCAAGTGAAAAGTTTTACTATATCTAAAGAAAGGCAAATATTGTTCAAAAACAATGATTCATCCCTCGTAATGGCGGGGTAACCAAAAGCATGTGCACCCAACATTTTATAAAGCTATTTAGACCACCATATGCTTTCAATAAGTTTCTGCTATAAAGAACGCAAAGCTGTGAAAATGTAAGATCTCATATTTTATCCGATAAAGGAAGCTCTTCAAATTAATCAATCACTTTTTTACACACGTGCTCTCCAGTGACAGCAGATACATGCATATGCTGCAATTAGTGGCACTTAAATTGGAACTCAACGTCGTCTCCTTTAGCTATTGGATAGGATAATACAAGTCCACTCGATCCCTCAACTAATCATTTTAAATCGGTCTACCACCCCAAAATGGCGAGTCTGCGACTAATGGCCATAAATGGAAACAAAGGTGAGCAAGAGATGTCCTTATGTCCTAGATATTTACTATTTATTATTTATTTATTTATTTTCTATTTCTGAGGGGGTGGGGTTAGCTCCCAATGTGTAATTTTCAAATTTTACAAAAGATAATATGTTAGGGTCCAATAGTTGTGCGACTCGATCACCCTCAAGCTTAGGCTTTTGGGAGAGATGGTTAGATTCCCACCAATTAGCATCAGAGCAGAACCACGTCACAGGTTCGAATCTTAGAAGGGGCAACCCAAGTGAAGTGTCAAATACCAGCCCCCAAAGAAAGGCTGGCCGGATAAAGCAAAGGTCATTTTGGAGTGGGCCGTCATGGACGTCGGATTTGAGGCCGTGGGGGTATTGTTAGGGTCTAATAGTTGTGGAATTCAATCACCCTCAAGCTTGAGCTTTTGGAAGAGATGGTTGGGTCGCCATCATAGAGTTGTCAACAAACATGCTTCACGCTTGTTCAAAAGATAGGAAGCTGATAACGTCCAATTGAGCAATTTGTTATTCCGGTACAAAAGTGTAGGTGCCAAATGTAGCTAGCCTTTTTTTTTAATCAACGTTTGAACATGGAAACACGATTTAAATAGCTAAAATTACAATCTCAAGTGCTGATGATGGAACAGGTAATGCTACAAACATAAGAGTAGGAATAATCTGGACTATGCTTTGATAAAAACTTACAAAATGCTATTGAACTAAAGATGAGTCCTAGCCACCAATATGTATCATCGGTCTGTTTGGTGTCTTTGCAATGTCAAACATCCCAGCATGAGCAGCTTTCTTCCTTTTCACCTGAAGTTGATAGTAAATGCCAGAAGTTATAACAAGACATTTCACATTATAGAAGACATATAAAACAATAGGAAGGAAACTGAAGAATTCAGCCTTTATAATCAACTAAGATGAGAAGCCACCAAAGAGAGAATTGTTATAGTTTTCTATGATCTCTGCACTCTTTTTAATATGTTAGTTTATGTGACATTTTATTTTCTGGTGAGGGCTCCTGATATGCATTGCCTATAAAATTTATTTTCCTTTCCAAATAGAAATCACCAAAAGCCAATTAAAAATTGATGTGATGAGGAAAAAATGTGAGCTTACATAGCCCATGTTTGGCCCACATTTTCAGCATCTCATTTTCCCCCAAACTCTCTTTCAACAACACATTTTTCCAATAAAATAATTTTGCACATGGATCCATAACTTTTCCATACTTTTTGACCACACATTCTTCAAAAAAATCACTTTTCACAAAATCAATTCTCAAAAAATCTCTAATAAACAGAGACATAATCTTTAGCCACAACCCATGAATAGGGAGAAAAGAGAAAGGAGGGGAAGGAATTCTCAGCAATTACTAGATAAATGGTATTTGAGACAATAGTTAGTACATACCGCTGCCCCAATAATCTCCTTGAGTTCTTTATCATCAACACCATGACGCAGAGGATCCCTCAAGCTAACCTGAAAGGAATGAACTGAGATAAGACTAATGAAATACCTAGTTCAAATTTAACCTTCACAAAGTAGATTGCTAAATTGTTTCACACTCATGTCACTCTGAATAATGCATGCACAACAATCTGCACCAAACTATCGGATGAAGAACACCTAAATACTAAAATTGATCTAGAATAAAATGCACACTAGATTTTAACAGAGATGAAACAAATATCAAATATAAATTTCATTGCGCACTTAATCTTATATTCAATTTCTGTCACACACGCGTAATTGCCAGCAACAGAGCAAGATCTGCATTCAAATTACTTGACAGAAGAAATTGCTGCCTCAAAGAACTTTGAGGGGCGCCCAACCGCTAAAAGTAATAGGTGGGTATTTTCCCAATTTCATACTAATAACCCATTAGTTACCTGCTCATTCCATCTACTGAAGGTTGGTTCCTTTGTCATATTTAACGGGAGCAATGTTTGGAATATACGGTGGAAACACAATAAAAATTAACTCGATATCACAAATTTGAGAAAGATATAGTTAACCACAAATGGCAGATTTATAAGTATCATCTGCTCAATACAGCACAAAAGAAAATTTGAGAAGAAACACTGGGACATTGATTGATGATGTCAAGCTGTAGAAATATATGATAAACACAAGTAAACCCAACAATGCTTGAAACCAAGAATACATTTGGCAACCCCCAGTTAAACGGATAAAGCATTTTCTGCATTAGGCGATGACAAGAAAATGCCACTTTACAAATTAATTGACAAAAGGCAGTCTACAAAAGAGAGATTAACACGGCCCTTATTATCTACAATTCTTTGAGTTATATTGGCACTATTTTGGGCCTTCACCTCTCCAAGTCTAGAAATGGACAATGCATATTCTGCACTATGGAGCAGCAACATTGCCGTTTCTTTTTCCATTCTTTATTTCTGCATTAGGCGATGACAAGAAAATGCCACTTTACAAATTAATTGACAAAAGGCAGTCTACAAAAGAGAGATTAACACGGCCTTTATTATCTACAATTCTTTGAGTTATATTGGCACTATTTTGGGCCTTCACCTCTCCAAGTCTAGAAATGGACAATGCATATTCTGCACTATGGAGCAACAACATTGCCGTTTCTTTTTCCATTACATGGAGACATCTTTTCTGAGAATCTGGTAAAGGTGTCAATAGTGCCGTGACAAAGATAGATTGCACACGTTAAGGCCTAGATTTCAGGTGTGCTAGACTGTCAGAAAATCTAGAAGGTCCAGCATGACCCACAGGAAGAACCGCCCTGATTACAGAAACTCTTGTTTTATTCTTTAAAATGTTCTTCTTCACATAAGTAGGTATTAAAAGAGGAATTGAAATAGAAATAAAGGCAGACATAAAATAGATGACCAACATAATAATATTGATTGTGAATTTATTTTTAGCGTACAATTTCAAAGGCACTATTGTATCAATCACAGTTAACCACGAGATCTATCACAATAGTTTAAGATCTAAATAGATCTTGTTTTTAAAGTAATCATCTCATACTTTAGATGTTAAAATTGTTCATTATGGAACCAATCTTTGTCTGCTAGTTAGCATTATCACCTATCATTTAGTTTAAGATCTAAATAGATCTCGTTTTTAAACTAATCATCTCATATTTTAGTATTGTTAAAATTGTTCGTTATGGAACCAATATTTGTCCATCATGTTAGCATTCTTAATTCTATATTCAGTGTTGCTCGTTCATCTACTAACCTTATGACAGAATTTAAAATTATTGTTGACATCGGAGGTGCTAGTAAACGATGAGCCATGGTAAAAAATAATCATTGTACAATATCTACATTATCTAATTGTACTTCACAAGTAAAATCACATTAGATATATTTAAATAACTCAATAAAAGATAAATTATGATTTGAGGAAGAGTTGAACCAATATAGTTATGATACATTTTACAACATGCAATGAACTTCATTGACCTTTATATTTAAGTCAGTAGGTAAGTTCTCAAAAATTTAACTCAGATAAAATTCTACACCAAATAAATTACTATGTGTATATATTCTGGCAGCTAATATAAATATCAGTTTCTAGTAGTTTTCAAATTAATTTTCCAATCTATGTCAAATATTAGTAAAATGCTCATGGAGTTAGCTAGAACAATATAAGAACTAAGATAGTGTACAACATATTTTCCATGATAAAGCTTTGTGACGACTATAATCTTTGCAAGACTCTTACCATTTCATAACTTGAAGTCCATTAAATTTCTAAAAAAATCAACTAAATGTTGAACAATTTGGAAACTAGTGTGATTACATTCTACAATTCGTCAAATACAAATTCTCTTGTTTTTTAACAATCTTATTCAAATCAGTATCATGAGAACGCAAATATAATCTACATTACAAAAGCACAAACTAAATCATACATAAAAGAAATTATATTATGCTCACCCAATTTCATGTTCATATTTCAATAAAATTTAAACAATGGGATGTAAGAGAAAATGAATTGGAATAACTTGAATTTGGATCCATATTATGATAATAAAAAATCTAACCATACTTATTTTTAAGAGTAAATTTAGGAGAATAAGAATGAAAAATATAACAAGTTTAAACAATACTCTGTAAAAATATTATACTAACATTAATTGAATGTAATACAAGTTAGATGGTGAAATTGAGAGAACGTGTGTGAGAAATTTCCAAAATGTATGAGGTTTGGGGATATTAAGCAGAAAATTATGCAAACAAAGAAAAGAAAAAAAGAATTGTAGTCCAAATTCCACATCACTAGATGTACATTATCAGATTTGTTTTTTCATTTTTCTTAAATCGGTCTGTGGCCAACTTGCAGGAAAGCAGGCCTGACATAACCCACCGTTATGGACTTATTGGTGGTCCCATCAACAGGCACGGTCCCACCCAAGCCACCTCTGGCCTGGCTGTCTGCAGCCCATTCTGACACATATACAGTGAGGTATATAGACTTGTTTTTTTAATTAAAAACATTGACAGAAAAAATGCATAGATAGTAAACCATGAGAAAAAGCAGCACAAGTTTCAATATAGAGTATGAATGAATTTTATGACAAGAAAGTAGGCAAATATATGAAGAATGATGAAAAACTTCACCTCTGAGGGTCCAAAAAGGCAAACTTTAAAATTTCCGTCCGCTAAGAGTCTCAATCTATTGCAACCAGCACAAAAGTTCTCAGTCATTGATGTGATAAAAGAAACTGTACCCTGGTGGCCATTAATTCTAAAATTCTTGGCTGTCTCTGAAGGATGGTCCCGAATCCTTTGAAGCCCTGTAAACCGTTTCGCCTGTTCAGTAAAATTGAGCCATTCAAGGCATGCACAAAAGAAAATCATAATGTAAAAGAGTCAAATATTGTAGAGTTCTACCTTACCACTCTATCCAACATTTCAGAGTACGATACGAGTTTCTTCACATTCCAGACATTTCCATCAAAAGGCATAAACTCAATAAAACGGACATTGATTGGCTTCTCACGTGTTAACTCGACAAAATCACAAATTTCATCATCATTGAATCCCCGCATTACGACACAATTCAGCTGAAAAAGAAAATTCAAAGCATTTATTTGAATTGTCCTAAACACTCTTCACAGTGGAAAAGAAGAAACCAAATAAATTAAATATCTTTCAGTGTTCAAGATAACCAACCTCTGTGCCAGCTCGTAAGGCAGTTGTATGAATTGAATACAAAAAGGTCAAAATGATGATATAAAATATAATAAAACTTACTTTGACAGGATTATATCCCAATTCTATTGCCGCATCAATGGACTTCATTACCCTTTCATGTCCTTTGCGTCTGGTCATAAATTCAAATTTTGCAGGAACCAGTGTGTCTAAACTTATGTTCAACAAACTAAGGCCACATTCTTTTAAAGATGGAAGCTTTCTTTCCAAAATAATTCCATTTGTAGTCATGGCCAGGGTCTTCAATCCATTTAAATTTGACAACTGTAAACATATTTCTTCAATATCCTTCCTAACAGTTGGCTCCCCACCAGTCAAACGAATTTTTTCTACACCTGAACTTACAAACAAATTAGCTAAACGAACAATCTCATTCGTCGAGAGAAGTTCCGGGCTAGGAGTAAGCTCTGCACCCTCAGCTGGCATACAGTATTGGCATCTTAAATTACAACGTTCTGTTAATGAGATCCTCAAGTAAGTATGTTGCCTCCCGAATGAATCAATTAGCATATCAGAGACAGGATTATCTTTAATTGCATCTTCTGACAACGTTCCACATGAAGTTGAGAACATCTTCGATGTGGATACATTTATGTGGCCAATTCTCAAATGTTGAGTGTCCCTGATTCTATGCAGAATCTTAGCCTGTTAATTTAACAGGACAATAATTAATTAATTGCAGATTAATAAGTGATGAAAATACATTATCAAAGACTCAAAGTCAATCAGCAGACTGCCAGGCAATGCAACAAACAGAAATAAAAAGGAAAGCAAAAGTTACAGAAATGAAAAATGAAGGTATGTGGTCAAAGGGTAGAAGGGAAAAGTGATCAACTGCTAAACTAACTACTTGCAATTTTTTTCGAAGACAAAGAATTTAAATAGAGAAGTACTAACAAAACACAGTCAAATTAAGCCCTGCATTCCAAAAGTATGGTTTATAAACTCAATAACTACAATGATTAGTTTGTCTAGTAAAAACAATGACAGATGACAGATGAATCTTTGTTGGTTTCTGATTCTACATACAAACCCTTCAAACTCCAATGGCGCTTTAATGTTATGTTTTTGGAGTGGCATACTGACTAGTTAGCATAGTGAAAAAACAAATTACTCTTCATACAGAGCAAATGAATTGACCACAATAATGTAAATTAAAGAATGGTACAACTAATGCACCCAAATTCCCCTTCCCGTGTCCGAAAATGAATGGAGGAGGGGAAACAATCATCGTAAAGGCTATCTTAATTTTTGAAATCACTTATTTTCCAAATTGCGTCTGCTCATAATTGTAACTATCGACATCCTTCTGAAGCTTATATCTTTAACAATAAAAATCGGTTTTTTTCTTAAACCCTTTTCTTTTTCAAATTCAAAGAACAGAAATTATCCCGTCCGAGTTTTTCAATCACACATATTCCCACAAATTCAAATTCAAATTCAAAATCTATGAAGTAATAAATACATAAACCACGCTCAGATCATTTTGAATAATCACGTGCGTGTACGAAGAAAAACTCCCACAAATGTAAATTCAAAATAAAAACCCAGTTCAAATCGAAGTCGTCGTGCACCTGATAAATCACTTAATTTCCTTAATTAGTGGATACACAGCCCCGTTCACCTCTAAAAAATATATTACAAAATTGGGAGCAAAAGCACTTAGTGCTGCATAAACAACGTAAAACTATTTTAAAAAAAAGGCAAGGAGGTGTACCGAGCTCAAATTTCTGCAACCGCGATGCCATTGGAAAAATTTGGAGATGCAGGGGCGCATGAGGAAAGCAAATTAATCCCACAAATATTTCTGCTCTTTTTTCCGTCTATGTGAAGTTCAGAATCTCAACGAGTGAACGATGTAATGAAGAAACGTTGGATTAGATCGGATTCCGACCCTTGAATTGATGAAAGGGATAAAGACGAATTGGAATCGGATTTGGATTTTAGGACCATCTCTTCTATAAAAATGGTAAAAAGAAACAGATGGCAGTAAGACAAAATCTATAGGTGGAAGTATAGAAAGGGATAGAAAGAGACATTTCGTGCCCTGCACCAAAGGTCAACCATCGTTTTTCATATTTATATTACTTCGGAAAATTGTAGCCACAGTGTGAAATCTTCCCATACAGACTTGATTTAAATATTTTACGAGGAAATTACAAAAAGTCAAATTTTGGTATTGTATTTACAAAAATGTCACTTTTTTTTTTTACATTGCAAGAATGTCAATTTTAGACAATTTTAGACATATTTACCCTTAAAACTAATTTTAATTATCCTATAGGTCCTAATTAAATGAGATTTGACCAATCAAAGAAATTGTACAAAATTTTGAAAGAGTGTCTGACAAAATTAAATTATTCAAGAAAAAAAGTAGAGCAAAAACCAAAATGCACACACCAATCCCCCATTCGAAGAACCCTAAATCTCTCGCTCACTCTCTCATTTCTCTCAATGAAGTGAACGCAAGTATGTTGAAGATGTGAAGAATCTGATGAAGAATTCCACTGAATATCAGAATATTGCCAGCAATAGTTTAGCCATTGTATCTCAACTGCTCGGAATAAGGAAATTAAAACCGGCAGAGCAAAATCCACCCAAAGTCCGAAACTCCATTTGAAACCGGCTGAAAAGTGCAAACACTGAACCCTTAAATTTCCATATTTCCATTCGGAGCAGAAGTAGTAGCTCAGCTGGAGGATCGGAGGCGGTGGAGTCTGTGGACCGTGTGTCGCTCTCAGTATTCAATCTCACACAGTTCAGATCTTCTTGTTTATTAATTCAAAGCAATTTTGTGAGCCCTATTTTAAATATATTCTGTATTGCTTGTGGGTTATTGTTTTTAAATTAGAAAGAAATGGTTGACGATGTGAAATTGTTGTTGTCTGTGAAAATATATTAAAAGATTATGTTTGTTAACTCTTTTGAATATATTATCCCCCATTCGTCAGTTGTTGAAAAGATTATGTTTCCTTTTTTATATTATTTTAGTTAATTCAACCGTAAAGCATCCAAGATCGGGCTCGGGATTCACCAGACCTCGCAGAAACTATCTAAGCTTGCGAAATGTAAGATAGGAACTGACATCTTGGTTGATTTTTACCATGTGTTTTTGTGATTGGTTTTCTTCTTGTTCTTCTGTGCTGAAAATTAATGCAGTTTGATCAGATGCTTTGTCTTCCCCTTGAATGACCTAAGATAATGGTAAAATGGATTTAAGTTATCTTTGCATCAGACGACTTTGATGTTTTCCAATGAGGTCCCATATTACTTGATCCTTGCTATAAATCTGTAATTGCTATAAAATGAATCTTATTCTATTTTCAATGAGCTCTTGGTCCTTGATACCTTCTTCCTCTTCTTCTTCTTCTTTTTTTTTTTTTAAAAATTTTTTTGGTGAAGTCCATTCTAGATAAGGTAATGTTTTTTAGGCCTCTTACCTTAACAAAATGGGGAGTTAGCTTTGCCCCATCGCCTAGTATATTGATTGGCTAAAATTTTACAAAGGAGTTGGACTTCAATGAACCTTGCCTTCTTGGAAATATAACAAAATTTAAGGAAAGAAACCTAGTCTATACATGAGTTATGTTTGCAGGTAAGAGAATAAAGGAACAAGAAACTAAGGCCACTTACATCCTTATGCTTGACAAACCACATTTATCTATTCTAAGCAATCCATTAATCTCAGCAGTTAACTCTTGTTATTGAAAGCTTGAACTTTTTATATTTGTATCCCCGTATTAGCTAAATGGTAGGCAAATGTATTGCCTTCTCGCCAAATATGGAAAAACTGAATGTTGAGCCTACTCTCCCAGTGGTGAATTTCTTTTAAATAGTATTGGACTTTCTGAGGTTCATCTATACCTTCCTTTTTTATTTTTATTTATTTATTTTACATTGGAGAGTGAATCAATCTCTGCCCATATTTGGGCTGTATCCAAATTGATCGCATAGCTTAAGAAGAACATGAGCCATAGAAGTCATAACATGCAAGGAGAACCTTACCTACATGATTCTTATCACACCCCCACCTGCAGCTAGATTTGAGTTCCCTTTGAGGCATTCATCAGAGTTTAGTTTGACAACATCAACAGAAGGTTAATGGACTAAAATTAATTGAATTTTATGAGTCTCATGGCTGTCTGAGAGGAGTCCACTTAGTGCAGAGGGCATCGCGTGCCTTCTTTTGAGGACATGTTCAATTGTTTCTTGATACTTACTTTTAAATATAACTAGTGCAAATTCTGTCTCTTACTTTGGTTTTATGCTATAAGTGGTAATGCAATTGTGCACAAATATACATGTTGTATGGGGCTGATTGCATAAGTTGCTTGGTAGCATGGGTCAAAATCCCAATACAAAAGATATCCCTACTTTGATGCCAATGCAGGAAACAACTTCTATATAATTCATGTCTTGTCAAGATTTAAAAATTATGAATTGTAAAGATTTAAATATTTGAGTGTTTATCTGAAGAAGGAGTTTCTTAGTACACTGCATCATGTGGCTCGTGATCAAATTTTGCCAGTTAAGACTTATAAGTCCAAGAAGGTTTTAAGGTGAAACTGAAAAGATGCATTGCTCTCAATGAGGACCATTTTTATTGTTTGTTGAAAGAAGGTCACGTCTTTTGAGATTGTTGAGATTTAGAACTTAGTTATGAAAATCCTGAACATGCAAGGAACTGGTAATGATGGAATATCATCATTTCCACTTGCTGTTCTTTTGCCCGTCATTAAACTCATTTAGGTAATTAAATGCAGTAGTACTGCATGAGAATACCATATTGAATTGGATATACACGAAACAGTAAGCATTTAGTATATTTTCTCTTTATAACTGCTTAAGCATCAATTAGTTGGGTTATATGTCAATTTCTAGTTTCTTGATATCAGTATTCTTCATGTGTGAATATGAACTTTCTCTTGATACATATGTCGTGAACTTGATATCCTTTCTTCACATTTCAACATTCAGCACTGTGGTCTCTATCAAAACCATGAATTCTTTAGGTGTAACTTATATGAATCAATATTCTGTGGGCTGATTTGGAAAAGGGATTTGACCATTACAAATTAGCTTTAATATTACTTTTGGTTATACTTGATATACACTTTCAAGTTATAATGCGTAATAATTAAAATATTTGGAGATTGGTATTCAAGAAATGTGGCAATTTTAATGTATGGTCCTCTTCAATACATTTTTTATGCGTAACATTTCTTTCTGTTGTTGCAGACCTAAACTTTGTGGAGTGTGGACGAAGAAAAGAGACGTATCTGTCCATAGCTCTTTACACTTGCTACAACTAGACGAGGTGAAAGCACTTTCTTCTCTCTTGTTATTGTGATGTACGAATATGTATTGAATTTATGTCGCACAAGATATTCACAAACCAACTTGCTGCTTTGCATATCTCTTAGATTGCTCGGTACGCAGTTGCATCATTTGGTGTTTTCGATGTAGTTATAAAGGAAAAACTAGTCTTGTTTGCTTGCCTTCTATTGTAACGGTCATTTTTTACTTGGTTGCTTCGTTGTGTTTACATTCGTACATGTTTGCATGGCTGGCTATGAAATGACTTTCTAGAATTAATATCCACGTTTTCACCTTTATTGTGATTTTTGGGATGACCGAATTTGGGCATGTTCTACATTTTGATATAAGGCACCATGCATATGTAACATCTAAGTTTTAAAGCGTGTTGTGAATTTTCGAGAGCCTGGTTTTCCGCTGTTATGTAGCAAGTTTGTGGGTTGGGGCACCATGCATACGTATGCCATATTTACGTTGAAAACTGTCATTCCCGACATTTGCCTCCTGTTATTCTCGACAGTTGGCTGAACCCTGACAGATGAACTGTCGTTCCCGACAGTTAGCTGCGGGCATTCTCGACAGATGACGTATGCCATTGTAAGGCAGAGTGCAGTCATCTGTCGACACAAGTTTCGATGACAGTGTCTCGACACATGACGGTGGGCACAGACGACACTGCACGTGTGTCGAGAAACAACATGTCTGTCAAACATTCAGATGTCATTACCGCATGTATTTTCGCACATTACAAAAATTTTTTGCTAACATTTTATTTTGATGAATATTGCAAGCACAATTTGCTATAATAAATGTTTATTGCAACTTTGGGTAGATGACATGTTCTTATACGTTTCTTGTATTACTTGTTCCAATTGATGTGGTTGTATGCTCTGCGGAAGTACGCTTGTAATTTGTAATATTCAGCTGCTGTTAAATTATGGTCTGACCGTTATCGTTTCATCTGCAGATATTATGGAATTTCAATTTCTGGCGCCCGAGAATGTGCGGTTGCCGGCGTGTACCTCGCAACGGAGCAACTTGAAGTACATAAAAACAGTGATGGATAACTTCGACGACCGACTTCGGGCTGACTTTCACGACTCCTGCCTTAGGTTTCTCGTTGACGTTCTGGAGATCCAATTTTTCGCTCAGCTAATCCAGGCATTGGTGTGCCGAGGGATCCGTTGCGATAAGTCCCATGAGTTGTGGTTTAACGTGCAGGGCCACCTTACCCGATTTGGACTGCAGGAGTATGTTATCATCACTAGACTGCATGCTGGGTCGTTTCCGGAGGGCGATCGGTACACAAAGGCATTGGAGAAGAGGAGGCTGAAGGAAAAATATTTCAAATCACTGAAGAAGATTTCATGTGCCCAGTTGGAGAAGGCATTTCTCCGCGCGTCGACACCTCGGGCAGATAGATACAAGCTCGGGCTTGCTCTAATTGTGGAAGGAGTTATCACTGCTCCGGACAACAATGTCAGCATTGATGAGGATACGCTTGCCATCGTGGACGACCTGGAGCTGTATTTTTCGTACCCCTGGGCCAAAGTGGGGTATAGGCATTTGTTGAAAGGATTCCAGGGTACTTGGGCACGTAAAATGAGCGATGTGAAGATGAAGAACGAGAAGGACGTCAGTTACACAATTCATGGATTTTCAATCGTCATG